TCCTTTTTTCATTAATAGACAGGACCTACTTGAGTTAGGTTCTGTCTGACCTCACTCAAATAAAGGTCAGAAGCACCAATAGAACCTTAAAAAAGAATTAATAGATGAAGGACAAGCCATCAATCAAGAAAACTGGTTTATTAAAGTTACATAAACTTTTTTTTTTAAAATCACTTTTACTACCTCATTTAGTGATGCTTTTAAAATAAATTAGGTATACTTACTAGGCTTACTTAATTTTTTTTTTGAGGTAATGCTGTTAGAGATTTTTTGGTATTATCATTTTGTTATTACTTTAGTTCATATTCAGTCTAATGTTAATCAATAGTTAATCAGCATTCAGTCTATAGATTATTGTGATTTTCAGTTTAAAGTGTTCTCTTCCTTATGTGTGTATAAACTGACCTGGAGGCCCCATCTGCCTGTTCGTCTTCCTGTGAAACAGTTATCTGTGTGTTTCCCAGACCTTAAATTACTTTCCACAGGTGCCTCCTTATCAACCGGAATACTCCCTATTTTAGAAACTGTCTTTGTGCAGTAGTATTTTTTGTCTCTGCTGTCTTCCGTACCTAACCTCCCTGTTTTTGCTTGATAATAAAAGACAAGCTGTAACCAAGGGTCTTTAGAACGCTCAAAGAACGGCTCGGAGGAGCAGTTTGCTGAGACTTCTTTTGCAAAAGCTTTGTCATAAAATTCATATACGTTGTCTGTGGTTCTTTTAATGAAGGTTCGAGGAAAATACCCATCAAATGCGTTTGCACTTTTTTTTAAAGTAAGGTGAGCTAATTCGATTTTACAGTGTAGTAGGGGCATGAACAGAATATGGCAAGATGTGAACAGAAATAAAACCAGTAGACCATAGTAGGATCCAATCTAACTGGAGCTGTCATGTTGAGTTCAAGTTGTTTAACCCACATGCAGAACACAAACAGGAGAACAAGTAATCAGATAAATTAAGTTTTATTTTAACAATGATAAAATGTGCAATTGTGTGGTTCTTGTCCTGGAGCTGGGGTCGTCTGTACTTTGACGGAGAAGAGTTTCCGCCAGGGGGAAGTTACTGTGGTCTCCAGGGTTATGGTCTCTTTCTTCAGGGGTTCCTTGAAATGATCCAGGTTCTGGTGAGAGGTTCTGACAGACAGTGTCTTGGTGGTTGATGGAGGAGGATGCGGTGGAGGGCGGACAGGTAAGTTCAGATGATGAAGAGAGTCGAGGAACGATCTGACTGCCAGCTGAGAGTCCAGGAACTGTAATTGATTTTTCTGCGGAGGTGAAAAGGGACTCGGACAACCAGTGGGTAAAAATCCAAGGCGTCACGAGGAAACACCTGAAGGAGAAGTAGAATCAGGAAACTTAGAGAACTGGCACAGATGGGCGCAGAGAACCATTACTGGCAAACACTCAGGACTACGAGCACTTCGACGCATGACGAGCACTTCGACGCATGACGAGCACTTCGACGCATGAAGTGCGTTCCTCAGTATATGAGGAACGGACTATCACTTCGACGCATGAGTGTGGATGATGAGGTGATTACCGGTAATCACAGGTGTGCTTATGCCAGTCAGCAGGCACGCCCTCCAGGTAGAGCAGCTTCTAGGCACCATCTAGTGGATGAAGAGGGAAGCAGCAGACAACAGAAAATCCCCACAAAGAGCCAAACACCGGTTCCCAACAGGAGCAAAGGAAATCTTGATGAAACGGGAACATTACAGAAAAAAAATAGGAAAACCAGAAGTAGTACATCAAAAAAAAAATTAATATTGTGCAAAAGTGTAATATTTCTTGCAACTTCAAGGTGTGACACCATGAGTTTCCATTAATGACCTTTTTCACAGTATTCTACTTTTCTGAAACACTTTTCATTATCTGTATATCATAATAATCAAAATTACAAGAAACAAACTCTTGGAAGACACTGCAAGCTGAGTAACAACCATGTGATTATTCTAATATGAGTTTCGTGTTCTGAGGTGACTGGCAAGAAATATTGCACTTTTACACAATATTCTAATTTTCTGAGATGCATTAGTATATCAATGAAGATATCAATGAAAATAACAATCAATGAAAAATAATACTGTCCGTCATCCTGTCTGTCACCATGAGATGATGACAGACACAGAAGGAGTGTGATTAACTTCAGACTGACTCCAAATCTCCATGGCAGCACAGTTGTTTGCTCTGTTGTCCGGGACCAAGAAAGTTTTGGGTTCAAGGTCTGTCTGCGAGGAGTTGATTCTTTTCCGTTTTAATCCCAATTTGTACAACAAATGTTTCTCACCTTCTGGTTTCACCCTCCTATAAAACTGATGTGTGACAACACTTCCAGCTCACTTCAACCCACATATGAACAGTTTAAGCTCCAAAGCAGATTTGCTGACTAATTTAGTGACTCATTTACCAACTGGGACTTTAGCATGTTTATTATTTTTTATATTATTATTTATAAGCTGAAACCTTGGAAGTGTTTTTAAAGAAATACAGACTCCTCATTCATTCCTCAGCATCTGAAAAAGTGGATCATATAAAACAAAAAACAAATAAGAAAACAGCGTCATAAAACTTATGGGATATCTGGCAAATAGTTACTGTTAGGCGAACCAGCCAGAGCTGAAGGTTTGAGGCTGTTCTTTAAAAAAGGGGCAGTCTGTCCCCTGCTGTTTGCAACTTAGAACTGGAGGGCTACAATTCAAATTCACATAATAGTATAATCTCAAAGGAAAGACTTGTCGAGCAAAATGCTTATGAGAGGAGCAAAAATGATAAGAACAGAAGATCATGGAGCTGAATGGGAGGAGAAGCTGCATACCTTTAGCTTTGTATAGGTGGTGTTTGTCTACAGGGAGCAGCTGCTCCTCAAAGTAATGTCCAGGAATATGAGGAAATAAAGGAGACTGCAGGAAGATGAAAAGAGGGCAGTGAGGACAGCAACAAGAGAAACAGTTTTCTCTCAGTCTTTATTTAACAACTTTATTTAACCCCATTCTCTCACCCTGCTGTAAAGGAGGGGAACTGTGGGAAGTCCTGGGCCAGGCAGAGCCTCAGCTGTCGCTGTCACTCAATTACCAGATTGACTCGGAAAGAGGGGGGTGACCTAAGATGAACGGAATGGAATCTGGAGTCCTCTGGGAGAGGCGGGGAGACGAGTGAGAGAGAAGGTGGGACTGGAAAAAGATGTGTTGATCAAAATATTTGATTAGTGTGAGTGTGTGCATGCATGGGTTGTTTGTCGTGTCTGTGCCTGTGTTGCCCCGCGATGGACTGGTGACCTGTCCAGAGTGACTTCACCCGTTGACCACTTGGTCCTCACGACCCCACCAGGGATAAGCATGTATGATAATGGATGGACGGATGGAAGTGCACTAAGCATTTTTCAAAGTTAGCAAAAGTGCTAAGCTAAAAATTAGCACATTAGCAGATGAGCAAAAGTGTGCCCACTACCCCTGATAGGTACCTTTACCTTTTTTTTTGCAGTCCAATGCAAAAGTATTCACACCTGTGAACTAGTGTTGCCATCTCTTTATTTTATGGCTGTACTCAAGTACTGAAAAACTGATCAGTTTTATTATTTTAAATTTATGTCATCAGACAGCCAAAAGTAAGTTCTGTACAAATTCTGGTATTAAAGACCATGAAACTGTTTTTGAATGAGGATTGAGATAGTAATCAGACCCAGGATAAAATGTATGTATTTAACGTAGTTCTTCAAGGAACAAAACACCAGGAACAACAGGTGAGCTATGAGAACTGGACACAGACTCAGTAAGCTACAACAATGACAAGGACCCAGCAAGGAAACAAAGACACAGGCAAGGTTAAATACATAGGGAATAATCAGGGGAACGAGAGACAGGTGGAAATAATAAGGGGTAAGACACAACAGTATGGAAACTAAATTAATTAATGAATACACAAAACCGACATCCTTACAAATATCAAAAAATATATAAGGATTTAGGAGCCATGTTTGGAGGCTGGTCCTAGACTAAATTTACCACGGGAGCTAGGGTTGTGGTGTTTTTTCATGGGGAGAACTTAAGAAAGAATGAAACAAAAAACAGGTCAATAGTTCATCATTTAATGTATAAGTGAACCAAAGAGCCACTATGGGCTGCAGGTCTGTGTCTGCTGCATTTTTGTTAGCATGTTTTTCCTTCACTCTTATAGCTTGATAAGAAGTCAGGTTATCCGAACTGCCAAACCACATTGATAAAATAATAGTGAAATAATATTGACCACATAACATAGTACTTATAAAATATATCAGCATTTTTCCTACACAGAGAGCCCTAACAAACTTTTTAAGTGTACGACAAATCAACAGTTTCTCTTCACAATATTTCTATACTGTTACTCTATTAGTATGATTTGCATTGGTTCAATACAGGTCATGACATTTAACAGCCAATACGGGACGATTCCGTATTTTTATGGAAGAAGGTTTTTATTTTTATCTAAGATTTTTATTCTTCTCTATTGTTTGTCAATAAGCAAAGAAGGAAAATTGCTAAACTGAGATAAAATGTGTGGCGCAGCTGAATGAGAGCACAACACTCCTCAGGTTGCAGAGGTTGTAGAAACAAGAGTAAGTCAGCAGCAGTGTGGACAGCAAAACAGGGAGATGGACGTGTCAACAGAGCTGGAATTGGTTGAGGGGTGAAGAATCTGTGCCTCCAGAGAGGTGATAATCCCTCCATATTTTGGTAAATCTATACGAGTGGGCGCATCCTCCAGTTCCTGCACAGCACATGAAATCTAGAGTCCAACTTTAAGGAGATGCTCAGTTGACAATAAGCTCCAGCTGTCTGAAGCTTGCCCTGTGTTTCCTCTTTTTGTTTTTTTTAAAATAAATGTCAGTGGGCTTATCTGCCATCTAAGAATGGAGAGGTGGTAGAGGGTTACACACAAGGGGGGAATAGATTGTAGCAGGGCACAATCTAAAGTTGGACTTGATTGGCCAGCTCTGATGAGGAGGGCTTCTCTGGCCCAATCCTGATCATTTTTAGTAAAATGATATGTGGAACAGAGGGTACTTATGGAGTGGGAGAAAGAAAGGCACAGTGCCACCTGAACTGCGTGGAGGGAAAGGTTTCCTTTATTGTTGCCTGTTGTCTCTACAAGTGCTTGATCAGCCAAACCAAGAACCATGGTAAGAACCTGAAGACAGAAGGAGATATGCAAAGATTTTTATCCTCAAGGATTTATCTTGAAGGCATTAAAACAAGAAACCAGAAGATGGAAATGATAATTTCAAGAAGACTGGTTTTAGCAAATTTTAGGACGTCAAGTCTTTTTTTTTTCTGGAGAGTGGCTGGATTTACACACCAGTTGGGTTTTCAGATTTTGGGATTACTGAAATTCTTTTGAGTTTTATTTGAGGCGCACACTTGCTGCAAACAAAGATCCTCTGAGTGCACAACTATTCCTGCAACTTCTCTTTAAAGGTTAAGTCTCTGTAACTCTTGATAGCTCTTTATATATAATCTGCTTTTGTTTCCTGTAGTAGCTGAACTACATAAAATCATCATTTATACAGGAGGGAGCCATGAGAAGATAAAAGCGCACAGCTGAGTAAAGAGAGAAGATGTGCTCTCTTTCTAATTTTGGACAGTCACCTTGAGAAAATCCCTTTCAAATCCTCATCCAAGTCTCACCTTAAAAATAGCTCAAAGTGAACTGATGGCTAGGCTCGTATGATCATCTGAAAGTTTTTTTTAAAATGCTTTCAGGAAAATCGAAGAATAAGTCACTGGCTGCTAGAAAAGTTGGCAATTTAGTTTTCACACTAAATTGAGGTGAGTTATACATTTGTAAAGTATCTTTCCTGGAGCTGTACAAGTACCAAACAGATCCCAGTTTGATATTATCGACCTATTTGATGCAAATAAAATGTAAAACAAGCTAAGAAGGTACTCAAGTAAGCTCCAAGCTTTAGAATGTTTAAACAAAGCTAGCATGCTCACATATCCCTCTGGAGATGAAGAATAGCAGGTCTGAAGTTGCATGGCGTTCCACTTGAAGAGCCAACACTGACGAGCTGAGCCAACTGCGGCAGGATTAGAGTTGACGTCTTGTTATAGAAAGTTATTTCCAGAAACATCCTGCTCCTTGGTCACTAATCGTTCCAACACTGGCTTTTTTGTGGTGCATCTTTACAACTCACTCAGCTCACTGAAAAATCTAAAGGCATATGTTTTTGAAACCACATACCTTCCTATAGCTTTATGCATAGAACTGATTTGATCCATTCCTTTAGGAGGGGGAATGATTATAAAACAGACAAGTTCATTGATTTCTAGAGACTCACAAGTTTGAATTAAAATGTATAAATATGCAGGGTTATGTACAATATATGTATGTATAAATTTACTGATGTGTAGTTAAGTATCCTTAAGAAATATAAAAAGAAATTATTTGCAGCCATAGACAAGCCCATGGCTGATTCTGGATGTTTGGCCTATCTTTCTGGGACAATATCTAGAGCCTGTATAAACTGTTAGGTTTTCTTTTACTGCCCTTGTTTTTATAGTGCAACTGTAGTTTGATCCATTTCCAAAGATAATATTAGCGTGCTTCTTACGTTCTAAAAATGGTTCAAGTGTCTGCTTGCAGAATTTTGATATCTTTTTTATTGCTTTTTGCTGGGATTTTTTTTTACTCTAGATGCCTTTATTTCACAGTCAGTCAACAGGAAAGTGGGTTGTGAGGGAAGTGAAAGACATGTGGCAAAGGTCAACAGACCGGGTATCAAACCCATGACAGCCACATAGAGGACTGAGGCTACATCGATTGGGTACTCTAACCAGCATCACCACCATATAAACTATAGAATTTTTAAAATTATTGTTTCTTTCTCTTTGCAGTAAGCCAAAATGCAATGACTCAACTTACTGTATAATAATGTTATAACTACTTTGATACCACTCAAAACACATAATAACAAGTTTTTTACTCCTTTCCCTCTTCTCTCCGGCTTCGTACGATCTTCCAAGCCTACTGATGCCCAAACTGACGCCCGCTCCTTCCTGACCGAGGAGATGATTTCAGGTCTGGTACAGTTGTGTAAATTTTGTCAGTTTTCCAGAATAACCTGTTGATTTGAACCATCAGAAGTAAAAAAAAATGTACTTTATGCTGTGCTTCCAGAGAGACGGGGCCAAAAAAAACTAACATTGCAGCAAATGCATCTTGTCTGAATTTCAATCTTCTCTTCCTGTTGGTCAGAGTTCAAGGCCGCCTTCGACATGTTCGACACAGACGGTGGCGGTGACATCAGCACCAAGGAGCTGGGCACTGTGATGAGGATGCTGGGCCAGAATCCATCTAGAGAGGAGCTGGATGCCATCATTGAGGAGGTGGATGAAGATGGTATGGAATCTGTTGTACTTTGGTTTTACGCCCAAAAATCCAAACAGTGATACATGACTGCTCAGACGGCGGTGTCATGCATGGTTTAGATGTTTTCCTGCTCCTACACATCTTATCAGAAGTGTTGGATGAACTGCTCAGGATGTGATAGGCTCCTGAGCAGTTCTGATCATATAGATCAGAAATGATGAACAAAGGAGAATTTTCAGACTTGAAAATTCTGCTAAAACTGGAGTTGGACACATTTGATATGGCCCCCTGTATCTCAGAAAATAGACTTTAAAATTATTCTGTTAGTTTGTAAATCACTGAATGGCTTAGGACCACAATACACTGAAGATCTGTTTTTATTGTATCGACCTTCCAGAGCTCTCAGGTCTTCTGGTTCTGGTTCTGCTTTGCATCCCCAGAATCAGAACCAGAAGACCTGAGAGCTCTGGAAGGTCTCAGGTCCTTTCAGACCTGAGACCTTCTTGTACATCTTTGTACCATCAAAGACGTACAATTAAAATGATAAATACTGTTACAAAGCACACGCAGCTGCATGAGTTAGTGTAACAGGCTGCAAATGGTTGAACTTGACACGCAAAAAGAAAAGCCTCCGAGCAATCATCTTTCCAGTCTGTGTGCAACGTGGAGCTCACTGTGCCTCTCCAAGTAAGAAATCAAGAGGGTGGTGCTGGGAGGAATGTGTCCGTGTTCCTGGTCATGATGGTGCAGCAGCTAAAGGAAGACCAGGCCGGAAAGAGTGAAGAGGAGCTTTCAGAATGTTTCCGCATGTTCCGTTCTGGTTCTGCTTTGCATCCCCAGAACCAGAACCAAACATCAAGAAGCAGCTTTCAGCTTCTACGCACCTCAAATCTGGAACAAACATCCAGAAAACTGCAAAACAGCCGAAACAATGAGTTTCTTTAAATCAAGGTTAAAATCAAACCAGTTTAGAGTTGCTTTTGAACCAAAGCAAATGGGACATTGACAAGCATATATGATGTGTGTTGATGAAGATAATAATAATGGCACTCATCAAAATTTAATATTTGTTACTGGTTTTCTCAATTGGTGACTGTATGGTAATTTTATGACTTTATATTTTTTGTTTGTTTGTTTTTATAACTTTGAAATGTGCCATACAAATAAACTTGATTTGTTGATTGATATATAGGTAGATTCCAAGGGAGGCATTTGATTGGTTGGAGGGGGTGATCCATGCACACTGATAAAAAAAAAAAATTTGAAGTAATTTGTCTATTGTACTTTGAGCAAGTTTTCCATTGTTTTATATTTATTTTATGTAGGGAGTTTCCTGTGTTTTGTTTAGTTGGGGGTGAGAGTTAGCTGAAGTTGCCCCCCTGGTGTCTCACTGACTCCATGTCTTCTCAGGCAGTGGTACTATCGACTTTGAGGAGTTCCTGGTCATGATGGTGCAGCAGCTAAAGGAAGACCAGGCCGGAAAGAGTGAAGAGGAGCTTTCAGAATGTTTCCGCATTTTCGACAAGTATGACTCTCCCTAAGCTAAACATTGCATTCAGTATTTTAAACCCTAAGGTCCACCAGACTTAAATATAAGCATGCTAAATACTGAGGAATGAAGAAATAACACATCTTATTTGCCAACTGAAGTTTCTGCAGAGTTCAGAGAGTTAATACAGTTAGACTTAACTTGTTTGAATGAATCGTTCTAATGTGATGGAAGAAAGTTTTCATCTCACTCATAGACTGCAAACATTTCATACATATTTTGTTGTTTGAAGTAAATCACCTTTTTGACAATGTTGCTGTTACACTGAGATTCAAAATAGTTCACGAACTTTGCTCCTTGGATATAAAAATCATGATATAGAAATTTCCTGACCTTTAAAGACACGTGTAAATTGTTTGCTTATGTGGTGATATGAAAAAAATAAATAAATAAGAAGATGATAGTTTAACACATTTTCTCTGTGTCCTTGAAGGAACGGAGACGGCTTCATTGACCGGGAAGAATTTGGAGATATCCTCCACATGACTGGAGAGCAGGTTGCAGAGGAAGACATTGATGAAATGTTTGGCGAATCAGACTCAAACAAAGACGGAAAAATTGATTTTGATGGTAAGATTGTTAACATTTTCAAATGGAAAATTGCATTACTAGATTGGGCCTTTGTTTCTTTTTTTAAACTGAACAGAAAAATGGAACTGAAAATAAAAGATTTGAAACTTAAAAATAATGTGCAGCTGAAAAAAAATTATTAAATTAAATTTTAAATTATACACATCAAAACTTGTCATTGTAAAAAAACAACTTTGAATACTTATGAGGTAACAAAGGATTGAATATTTTTGTAAAACAAGATATTGAGGTACTCTTACAAACAAACACAGCTTTATTAAGAAATCATGTATGACCGAGTGAAGCTGAAAAAAAGTCTAGTGAATGTGGGTAGCATGCATAATAATAATACACCAAATGTATTTCAACAAAAAATGTGAAACCAATGCAATAAATATTCATAATTCATACTTCTATCGACACAATGTGTGGGTTGTAAATGATGGGCTGAACATAACATAAAGCTGCTTAATTGCTCCCTGCATGGTCTGAATATCTGTGCTGGTATGGATAATGGACACTCTGATCTCTTCCCTTTCCTTCCAGAGTTTCTCAAGATGATGGAGAACGTCCAGTGATGAGCCCAGCTCTGCATTCCTTCCTCAGAAATCAAATAAACCCCTCAAAGAAGAAACTAAATGCTACAAATATGGATAGTTAACAAAATGTATAACCCAGTTGAATTAAACATCTCCACGCTTCTCCCCCTCAGTCAGCGCTTCCTCTCTTTCTTCTCATGTAAAACTCAGAGTGTTGTTAAAGATTTCTATAAATATACATTCAGACCATTAAAGACGAAGACGCTTTTTTACGCCGGCCCCTCAGCTGTCCTGTTGGCAGCTGCCGTGTCTCCAGAAATGCAACACCAGCTGGCTTCAACCCCCCACTTTCATCCTGCTCACCATCAGACCAGAGTCTCTTCCACGCCATGAGCTCTGCTCTATGAATAAACCAAGCTTCTTCCTTACTCTGATGCTTATTTTCCTCATTTTTCAAAAATCCATACCATACAGGTGACTTGGCAGGTTTTAGCGTCTTCCTACCTTTCCCACCATCACTAGCTCTATTTCCATTTTGCTAATGTCAAAACAACATAATTTCATAATTGCAGCATTTCCATAAAATAAGAAATACAGTTAAAATCACGTGAATAAGTTTGCTTGCACCATAAGTCATTAAAAAAAATGCCGCACCATCCTCCTACTCCCACTCCTGTTTTCTTTGTCTTTTTTGGCACTAGCCACATCCAGTTGCTGATCATGTGACTGGTGTGATGCGAAAAAGGTGTTTCAGTTTAAATACACTACTATCGAAACAACTGTAAAACCACCTCATCCTAGAGCAAAAACATTTTATTGAAAAATTGCAGTGTTTCTATGAAGCAAATTTAATTTTTGTAATTCCAATTCGCACAGTTTTAAGCTAAATGGAAACACAGATGCTGGGACGTTTAGACCTGATCCCAACTCTCTATGTAACCTCCAGAAGATATGACTGTAGCTGGTCTCACGAAGTCACACGAAATTCAAGCCCTTTCTACTTTGTCACCACTTTCAACTCAATCAAAGCCTCCCTGCTGCACAATTACCTTGAGGTAAATTAAGGTAATTGTTGTATAATTATTTAATACCTCTGAGGCGTCATATCTGATTACAATAAAATCTGATGACTTTGGCTCACAAGCAGGTCTCCCAACAAGGAGACCAAGGTCTCAGCCGCTATCAGAGGCATAAAACAGGCAGTCACAACGCAGATGAGTCAACGCTGGTCTTCCTCGGGGTTTATAGCCTGCAACCCCCCCCACCCCCAACTGCCTCTTAAAAACCCTCCCCTGCCATCTCTTCTGCCCAACTTCTCAATATCCTCCTGTTCTGAATGTGAAGTCGCCCCCCACCTCCCAGGAACTGAAGCCAAACTTGGACCATCAGGTTGGGTTTCTCAAGCCTTGGATGTAACGGGTGGGAGGCTCTGCCTCTCTGCACCCCTGTTCAGCTGAAAATCTATCAGCTATTCATGGCACAGTGAAGGAGGGGTCATAGCCGGGGAGATGGGTCCCCAGCCCCTGCACACGTTGAAGGCTCATCATCACAAAACCAACAACCCACTTCAGTCAATTGAAGACCTCCACCTCCCTTGTCAACCCTTATGTGTTTACAAGGCCTGACCGGAAACCCCAGCTGATCAGAGCTCTGTTATTTTATCGTCATCACATTAAACCTGTTGCCAAGATTATCAGGATCCACAAGTTTAAAATACAAAGCGCTGTCACTGTTCTAATAGCATCCCTTCAGTTTGTCTTTGCTCCATCAGCTCTTATCAGCGTCATGCTGGGATATGATCCCTCCACGATCCCTCTTGCGTCTCCTCAGATTCTGACTCTCCTCTGTTTTCCCACGATTTCAGAATTAATCAAAAGGCCTCCTTTGTTCCGAGCTGCGTCGCTTCATGTACCTAGAGCGTCAGTCTCCAAGGTGTGATTGGCCTGGCCCTGGCCCCCCAGAACCCTAAAAGTTCAGGATACTAAATCTGGAATCCTGTGAGATGCAGTGGGTGGGGCCTGGCCGCCCCCGTTTAAAGTGTGTCTGAACCTTGTCTTGATGTCTAGTCTCTCTGTTGGGGTGCACACGGATTGACCACTCCTTTTCTTTTCACGTTGGATAATTGGGGGGGAAAGCATAATCCACAAACATGGTAAGAGACATTTATTGCGTAAATTACCATTCTACGGTGTTCAGTGTTTATTAGTGAACCAGGCATTTAGTTAGCCATGAGTCATATTAAAGTTCTGTAGTAATGATGGAATAATTAAAAAAGATCCTTTGGCTGAGATGTTGAGATGCAACTGTTTTCTTTTGGCTTCCAGTAGATGTTTACCTGCTCTTTTGATTATTTTTGCACTTTTTGCACCTATAATTTTTAATTTGCTAATTTGGATAATCTGCGCAATGTTTTGATCAACTTCTTAAAATACGGATTGATTTTGGTCTTAACAGGTTAGTCTCCTGCAAATACTCCTAATGCTGAGCATTGCATGCTGGTGAGGAGCAGGATGGAGTGTCAGCTGAGAAAGTGCAGATTCTGCTTAGGAGTCAGATTCCAGGGGATTGGATGTCTCCGGGCCATATACAGGGAGTGTAATGTGTTGAGCCTGAAATAGCTGGACTAATTTTCAACAAGCTCCATAAAGTCCTTTTGAGACTGGGGCATTTATGATGCACCATGTGACCCATAGGAGCAACAATGTCAAACATAACCTGAAATAAATCCCTCAAACTGATGAAAGCTTAAATTTCATCTCTACAGCAGTGTTTTACCTCAAGAATTCTTACTTTTCACTACAACTCTACACAAATGGTTCCTATTGTTTGTATTTTAAGCATTTTTTTTCTATCAATCAATTATCTGGTGTCAAAAAAATGATTGATAAGTTGTCAGAGCAGACTCTGACAGTCCCCTCCACTGCTGTGGACTGAAGAACAATTCAGCTGAACACAGATTTATAGAGTCCAATAATGAAGTCTGGAGTGAAGTGACCCCTGTTTTCTTGCAGACTGACGCACAACAAGAGGCCCGCTCCTACCTGAGCGAGGAAATGCTGGCTGGTGAGTACACTGATAAAACAGACTGCTAGAAATTAGTCAAAAAAAAAAAAAAAAAAAAAAAAAAAAAAACAAGTGTGACAATTTGGATCATTGTTTAAATGAGTTAGATTCCACCAAATTGTTGCAATAATGCCTGTTTAACAAAAATAAGTCTAGAATCAGTTACTCATCAAAACAAACATCCATCCATTTTCTTTACACCCTCGTCCCTCAGTGGGGTCGGGAGGGTTGCTGGTGCTATCTCCAGCTATCGTTCCGGGTGAAAGGGGGGGTACACCCTGGACAGCTTGCCAGTCAGTCGCAGGGCAACACAGAGACAAACAACCAAGCATACACACACTCACACCTAGGGGCAATTTGGAGAGGCCAATTAACCTGATAGTCATGTTTTTGGACTGTGGGGGGAAACCGGAGTACCACACATGTTTGAGAAAACCCAAAACTCCACGCAGAAAGACCGTGGCCGGGAACCGAACCCAAAACCTTCTTGCTGCAAGGCAACAGCTCTACCTGTGCCTGTGCTACTGTGCAGCCCCTCAAAACAAACAAAAGAAAAAATTAAGAATTTGAGCATAAAACCTCAGTGAAATAGTGATATGTTTTCAAAGTCAATTCAAGCTAGGTGAGATGTAAACCTCGACAGTCACAGTTTTGATGTGCTGTTTTCTGGAAACAACTAACTGTCTCAGGGGTTAAGGAAGCTCTGCTAGCAATCGAATTAGCATTAGCACTTTGGCCAGATTCAAACTTCACACTTCCTCCAACACAAACCTTCTCTACCACAAATCTATAGCAGTTCCTTATGTTTTTACAATGTTTAAGATGTTGTCCCATCAAAAAGTTTAGGTGGGATTTTTTTTTTTTTTTTTTTTTACCAAAAGAAAGTAGCTAATGTTGTTCAAATAGCTGATGTTTTAATAAACTACAAAATCTCTCTTCATTATTGATTACTACACACAAAGTACAGAAGTAGCCCATTGTGCATAAAATTTCAAGGTAGACAAATGGGGAGGGGCTTTTGCCCGTTTAATTGAACACAAAAACAGCAATTAATCAATATGTTTCAATAGCAACATGTAATGTTTCTGATAAATAAATAAAAAAAACATATAATTCTCTGACATCATCATGTCCAACCTTGATGATGTAATGCTTAGAAGTTATAATCACACAACCTAATGAATGTCTATTAGCCAAATTCTGCGCCCAGCTCCAACAATTTGTTCATATTTATTACATCCAGAGTTCAAAGCCGCCTTTGACCTGTTCGACACCGACGGTGGCGGTGATATCAGCACCAAGGAGTTGGGTACCGTGATGAGGATGCTGGGCCAGAACCCGACAAGAGAAGAGTTGGATGAAATCATCGAGGAGGTCGATGAGGATGGTGAGCAAAACGCGCAATTGTTTTACTTTTACGCACAAAAGCGATGCACTGCCATCATTAATCACTTGGCAAACAGATAAATAGAAGTTAATAAATGTTTTGATGTGGGTGTTTCTAAATTGCAGCTTGACTCTGTTATGCATCATTGAATAATTTATTTTTTTTTTTAATATTTGGCTAATTTGGAATTCGGGAGTGTTCAGACGTAGTCCAACAGAGCTCGCAACATCTAACCAGTCATTTCGGGGTTTTACCCCTTTTTTTCCCTTTGTTTTTGTTTTGCTAACCTTCAGGCAGCGGTAGCATCGACTTCGAGGAGTTCTTGGTCATGATGGTGAGGCTGCTCAAGGAGGACGAGGCCGGCAAGAGCGAGGAAGAGTTGGCAGAATGTTTCCGTGTGTTCGACAAGTGCGTCCACTGCGGCTGGAGTCTGGATTAGAGACTGTTATGAAGATGCATTCTGTTTTATGCTTAGGATTCCGTATTTTCTCGTTCTTGCCTCCAGGAACGGTGATGGATACATCGACAGAGATGAGTTCGCACTGATCATCCGCAGCAGCGGGGAAACCATCACAGACGATGAAATTGATGAGCTGTTGAAGGACGGAGACAAGAACTCCGATGGCATGCTGGACTTTGACGGTAAGTGGTTGATGGGAGAGATACATAAACATGACATATGACATATTCCTTGTGGAGAAGTTGATCTTGATCTTTGAACAATAGATCAATTAATACTACTACTACTACTACTACTACTACTACTACTACTGCTACTAATAATAATAATAATAATTATTAATAATAATAATAATAATAATAATAATAATAATAAACTGCCTAGAGATGTTTTTGTTCTTTTACATCAGTTTGAAGTTTGCAAGATTAACTTTCCGCTCCAGTCCATTGACTTTATGACTTGATTTACAGAGTCTTGCTTCACTATAAAAACTAATGGTTAAAAATAACACAATTTGGGGTACACATAACTGCTATTTTTGGTTTGGTAATAAAATAACCAATCTGGGTTGTCTTGGTAACACACTTGTGGCTAGAACATGGCAGTTGGTTGAACAAAACATTGCAAAAAGTGAAATCTAAGTTAGATTACACATCTTAGATCAAAGGGGTTTATGCTTGCTTCTTTTCTCGCAAGATACATTTTCTCACTTGGAGATTTTAGGCCAGGCCATTTCCCTTTATTTAAGTGTTTTGGTCCTTCCTTATGTCAGTAAGATATATATTATATTATTGTCAATGAAACAGTAGAAAACATGAAAAATAAATGATTTGTGAATGGGTTCAGTCTTTATCTGCTGGTACATGAAGCAACGTAGAAGCACAAACAAGAATGAAGTAATACAAAACAGAGATATTGAACCAATATTGAATTAATACAGCTAAAACAAATGTTAATGTTGAATCACAAGTGGAAGTGGGCATAAATGTAGCTTCTTAGCCTGTTCTAGCTACGTAGCGGAAACACAGAATCTGGGTTAAATGAATAAACTTGCAGCTTTTGGACTTTTCAACTGTTGCTGATCCTGTTGGGTAAAAATTCCTGTCTCTTTTTTCCAGAATTCCTCAAGATGATGGAGAATGTGCAGTAAAACAAATAGGACTCAATGGACATTCCTCCAACCTCCTGTGAAAAATCCCTTTCTGAATAAATCTGCACCACGCTCTAACCTTACCTCTATTTCAGTGACTCACAAAAAAAAAAAAAAAAAGAAGCACTCAAAGACATATTGTCCACCTGGTTCACTGCCTCCTTCTCCATCCTTGCAGACATCCTCAACAGACAGCTAGGACACCTCGCTTTGGAGTGAGGGTCGCTAGCTGAGCTACATGACTTGCTGATAGACGCAGACAGTTTGCCATATTTGCTGTGCTGATGCTGCGAATGGACAGCATGGCTGCAGTGAGGAGATCGTCTTCAAACACCATCTGCATGCATGGCGAGCCCCCCCTCCTCTCTCCTCTCTGCTGGTGAAGCTGTGATCTAGATCTAGTCTAGAGAAATAGGCAGCCTGTTACCTGCTGCATAGACCAAGGAATTCAAACACTTTACTGTACAAAGAAGTAACTTGCTTGAACAGAATAAATGAACTAACACACATGCTCACTGGTAGTTGGTCTGTCATATTTATGGTCTGTGTAAAAAAAAAATTGTTTTGAGGAATTTAAATAAAATCTTTTTTTTTTCTTTACTTTTGTCAATTTCAGAATTTGTGCTCATCCCAGCGTACACCGGCTGAAAAAAATTAAACGGTGTCGTGAGTGTAGAAGTTCAGGTTCAGTGTTTGTTAATTGAGTTATTGTCCATAATTCCTGGCTGTGACCAGGCAGGTTAATCTCAGACTACTTTGAACTCTTTAAGCATAGAAATAGTACTTTTTCAATGGCACTTTTCAAAGAATAGGTCAGCAGAAACATCTTTTACACTAAAGTCTGTTTTTTTCCTGTTTGAATGGAAACCAGCACTGAATAACATTAAATATAATCTGTTATGTTGTTCCCTAAACCCTGAGTGTCCCAAACACTGACAATAAAAGTCTGTCCAAGTTGTGGTTCGGAACACTTCAATTACACTACAAAACCCACATTTAGTATATTTTTTCCCAAACAGAGGTGTACGTCTTCTGGTTGGAGGAATTTCACACAGGAACTGATAGAAATTCCCAAAAGTCTTGGGAGTTATTTGGCAAACAGACCTTTTGGTCAGTTGTGGTTTTAATCGTGTCACCTGCAAAGATCTGAACTCTTTTGTATTTTTTTGTCTTTCCTGGGAATCATATTAAGCCCCACAACAGTATGGGGATACATTAGCACCAAAATATGTGTCTAAGGTGTGCATGCATCATCTGTGTGCCACACCTAATGTGGTATGCTGACCTACAGCAATAATAAATGAGCATGAGTCTTCATTTAGAACTGTTGTAGGTCAGCATACCACATAATATGGAGCACATAGACAAATCAGTACAGATATACAGACTGCACGGAAACATATTTTTGGCTTTAATGGAACCCTAAACATGGCTCCTATCAACTCCTGTCTTGGGAACCAGTGTTAAGAGTACTGACTGTGTGGCTATGTCCAACTGGTACCTTTGTACATAGATTGGCCATTTATAAAAGTAAATAAAAAGAACAAGTAATTTACTTTATTCAAACTGTTTCAGAAAATCTTATAATCTTTGGCATTGCGTATTGATCTATGATGCTAAGCCACTGAGAAAGAGAGGAAGTCAAGTTGAACAAATAAAAAAAAAAACAGACTCATGCAATATTTAACTTTTATATTTTTTAAAAAATTAACGAATATTGTAATCAGATGTATCAGCAGTATGTGTCCACATGTATGTCTGTTAAGAGCCATAATTGGCTTCGTCGAAAGCTTTCCTTGCTCTCTTCAGCTCCTCGTTCATGGTCAGCAAATCTTTGACGCGGGCAAATTTTCTGGGATCTTTGCGGATCAGAAAAACGATGTCTTCCACCTGGACGCGGCCCTGCCGCCCGATGGACATGGCTTTGTGGGTCATCTCCGTGATGAACTCGATCACCAGGTCCTCCAGGATGTCCACCGACTCTGTATACGGGTTCTGGTCGTCACCGAAGCCGTACATCATGCAGCGGAGCTCCTTAGAGAAGAGCCTTTTTCTTCTACCGTGGCCAGCGGCGTCCACCCCGCCGGAGCCGTCCTCCTGCTCCTCCTCGAAGCCAGGCTCGTCCTCCTCCTCCGCCATTACTCTAGAAATAAAGACAAATATAATTAAAGTCAATTAAACTTTATAAAAGCGTAACAAAAAAGACAACTCTTACATAGCTGCCTTGTTCAACTGAAACGCAAGACAACAGCACGGAGAGCGTCTGAATTACTACTTCCTGTTTGTATAATCACAGGCTACTTGTAAACAGATTATCAGTGCACTATCGCCACCTGTCGGACTGGAGTGCAGCAGGACATAAACTTGGAAAAATCTTTGAGTTTTGCAACTGGTATAGCGTTGAAATAAATCCATCCATTCATTTTCTTGCACCCTTGTCCCTAGTGAGGTCGAGAGGGGTGCTGGTGCCTATCTCCAGGGAGACATTTCGGGCGAGAGGCGGGGTACACCCTGGACAGGTCGCCAGCGTTGAATAATTTAAATAATTTTAACATAGTAGGGAATCAGTATCTGAATCTAGAGGCAATCAGAATCCAGAGACAGTAAATAGGTTAATAGGGTAGGAATTGCTTTTATTGTATCTGAAATACAACAAATTCTCGAATCAAAGAAGGGGTAAAGTATCTGTTTATACTGGTGACTTGATTCCCATCTTTATTAGCTTTAATGTGGGTAGAAAACATTAAGTTTTAGTCTGTTGCTCACTCTCTGTCAAGGCAGGATGTTATAATAGAAATTCTATAGATATTGTACAACAAAACTCTGGGTCACATTACAGAAAAGAACAAATAAATGAATATGAAATCAATAAAATAATTAATTAAAAATAGATTGTCCATAAACAAGGTTGGAGAACACTTTAAAATCTATGTTTAAAGTGAAATCAGTTTGAACAGCCAGTGTCTTGAGCTGTGACATAAATAGTGGGAGAAAATCTATATTCCTAATGTTTGGAGGAAGTGAGTTTCAGAGCCGAGGAGGCCAGTGTAAGTTTCATAAAGAGGAACACTACAGTTTAGTTGAACTACTTCATAGTTGTTCAGCTGAACAACTTCATATGTTTCCATTCTGGTTCACATTCCAGTTCAGAAGGTGGCGGTAATGCACACCTTTGCACACTGTTTGCCAAGCGCCATTTAATATAAGAAGAAGAAAAAGGAAAACGAGAAAAAAACAACACAGACATGTAGTCGCACAACAGATGGTAAGTGCTGTTGAGCTGTTACTTTAAGGTTTTTAACCTGCTGTCGGCGTGTATAATTTGTGAGCACATGTTGCTTTAATAGAGCCTAACTAAGTACTAAAGCATTCAGTCTGTCTAACAGCTGTTAACACAAACCACGATAAAAATGAGTTGGAAAATGAACTGGATCCGCATCATTTACACGATGGCGCATCCTCGGGATGTCCCGCTCTGTTCCAGAGCGAGCGCGTCGTACACATAATATTGATTTTATGGTTAATGTAAATACAAGATTGGCATTTAAAAACCAACATCAGAATGATTCCTGAAGGCAGTGAATCGACGGTCCATCTTTGGGTTGTGATTTAAGAAGCAAATTATCTCTGAATATGCCTTCAGAATATGTGTCCATCTGTCTTTCCAGTTTGTTACCAGCGCACGCCGGAATTGCTAAATCTCATAGTTAAGGTCTAACTTCGAGAACTGGTTCACTCTGAGAGGAATTCGTCCTCTACCGCTCAACTTCTTTTTTTTTTTTTTTTTTTTTGGCCGGCTCATGCGCCGGTGGACTGTTAAGGAGTGGGTCTGCCGTGATTGACAGACAGCTGGCGCTATCATCACTAACTCTGAACTTTCAGTATTACTTCACTCTTTTCCCCTCATTTTCTCCAAACCCAGGTTGTCCCGGTTACAGCGAACAGTTATGGGTGGGTCCAGAGTTTGTTTGAAGATGGTGGTCTGTCTTCATTAGCGGTTCCGTATGGCGTGGCCGGTCCAGTTTCTCTTCCGGGGCCTTCGCACTGTCGGATTGGTTCTCCTCTACTATGTCTTCTCCATAGGCATCACCTTCTATAACAAATGGCTGATGAAAGTAAGAACCTCCATGCAACTTGTGTTTGTTGTTGCTAGACTGGTAACTTATCTTCCATTTTATTTGGATAAAAACTGAGAAGTAAGTAAACGAAGCCACCATATATTGAGTCTTAAACAATAAATAAAATGAATCTGCATATAAAGAGATCAAATAACATGCAAAAGTACAAATATATTTAGAAAGAGGAAGCAAAACTATGCAAGTTAGGCCAGGGCAGGCCAACGAAGGTGCCATTTGGTATTTGAAAATAATTTCAAATACTGAGAAGGTAGTAGTAATTTACCAGGGGTAAAGCACAATCCACATACAGAGGCCTTAGTCTGACCGTCTAACTACACTTAAATAAAGCCCGCTAGAGACAATAAAACCTTTTTAAAAGATATCCTTTGAAGCTGTTTTTATTTGCAAAATGTGTTACCTGAATGCATCTTGTTATTTTTTCCGGGGGGGCAGGGGGTGTTCCAACTTTTGAGCTGCTACTGTTGTATTTTACTCTAAATTTGAACATGGTCTTACATGATAAGCTCATCTTTGAGAGACAGCAGGCGCAAATCGTGACACCGCACCTACTAATGGCACTTCCGGTGGCAGGTGTCATTATGCGCCACAAGTGCCACTGTTTTCAGGGCTAGTTGCGGCCCTGCTGTCATCTTTTAAGCTCCAAAATGAGTGTTTGTGAAAAATGGCCTAAAAATCCCCTGAATCTGTATATTTCCAAAAAATAAAAATAAAAAAAATAACCATCATGTAGGATCTTTGGCATTTCTCAGGGACTGGGAGGCATTGTAGTTTATTCCATCTGCTTCTGTTTTCCTCAGGGCTTCCACTATCCCTTGTTCATGACGCTGGTTCATCTTGGCGTCAATTTCTGTCTGTCAGCTCTGGCGCGGCGGGCTATGCAGTGCTGGACAGGGAAACCCCGCATCATTCTGACTTGGGAAGACTACCTCCGTAAAGTGGCTCCAACAGGCAAGCTCCTGTTACTTTTGGACTCTGAAATGTTTTGACAGTCAATTCTTAGAGCCAGGGGTTGAAGGTCAGGCCTTATCATGTTTGCTGATTTTTTCCCCCCTCTTCAATAATCTTTTGACTAAAATTTAAATTGATAAGTTTCATCACACATTTAAACATGGAAGTATCAGCTGATGTGAAACCGATCACATCTACCTGAGCAAAGGTCTGAAAATCAGTGGCTGTTCCCTTTTCTCTGCTGTGATAGAGGATTGACTGACAGACCCGCCCACTTGGTCACGTCGTGCGCAGTTAACAAGTCACCCCACTGTCACCAACTTAACATCTTTGTCGCTATATTTAACAACGTTTCTTGCAAAACAAATCAGTAATGGCCAAAATCGACATGGGCAGGTCTGGCTTTTTAAAAACGCAGCCTTATGCATTTTTCAGGCACACAGTGTAGTTTTATCTCTGGGTCAAGTAACCGTTACCTTCAGCTGGTATACAAATGCTGACTTAAAAGAAATTTGACAGCGTAATTTGACGCCTGGAAGTTTCCTTCCGTCTCTTTAAGAAACTGCTTCTCTTTTCGACTCTCTGCCGTCATCATATCAACTCTGCCGTCATCATATCAATGCTTCTCATTATGCCGTTTACAACCATTCTCAGTCCATCACCACTCAGTGATGGACTGAGAAGTAGTTCATATGACGAGCTCAGGAGACTTATAGTGCATTTATTAGAAAATCATGTTCTATTCATGTATATTCCCTCTATGTCCAGTGTAATAATATCGGTTTCGTGGCCATGCATACTGTATGTACATGAAGTGCATTTGACTTGTAACTGTAAGTAGTGAACATGTTCATCTTCTCTGCAGCCTTGGCAACAGCACTGGATATAGGACTTTCCAACTGGAGCTTCCTCTTCATCACCATTAGTTTGTAAGTTAAAGGAGAAGAGCATCACAGCTTTGTCACCTGAACTGTTGCAATGTCCCATCCTGATCTCTGTTTCTTTACGGCTGAAGGTACACCATGACCAAGTCCTCAGCAGTGCTGTTCATTCTCTTTTTCTCTCTCGTGTTCAAACTAGAGGAGCCGGTGAGCAAAGATTATTTGAATTTGAAACAGATTCAAATTATTTTGACCATAAGTGGCTTAAAATAAACAAAGAATAATGACTTTTAACAAGAGGAAAAGTTTTTTATTCTTTATCTCTTTTGTACTGTCTGTAAGTAGCCGCACAAATATAATAAGTAAATGGTGTGACAGTTGGGTTGTTTAGGGCTGATTTTGTTCCACTAATGTATCAACTTGTGGAATGAAATCACTGGATGACAAAAGTTTTCAGTCTGGTACTAATGTACCAACCTGAAGCAAAATGTATGGAGCTAAATTGGGACCACATAGTTTGTACCAAAAAAAAAGACAAAATTGAAACTGAAAT